AAGCTGGGAGGTGGCAAGGGAGGGAGACAATGTCCAGGCAGGGGGACAATGATGAAGATCTTGTGGGGGGAAACGGCAAGGAAGAGGCAGTGGCAGCACTGCATTCCAGAGGGTGTGGAAGGGAGGATGGAGGAAGACAACCCTCAGCAGCCCTGGCACTAGCCAGGTGTGAGGTGATGAGGCCAGCTGCAGGGTGGGATAAGGCATATGGGAGAGATGTTTGGAAGGTAGAAATGACAGTCTTTGGCAACTGATAAGCTACGGGTGGCGAGAGAATGAGGAGTGGAGAACGACACTAAACATGGCAGCTTGGATGGATGGCTGTAGCCTCCCGGCAATATGTAAGTGAGGAAGAAGGGAGGATGTGCAGGAAATGACGAGCTCAACTTGAATAAGATGTCTTCAGGACATCCAGTCTGAAATGACCATGAGGCAACAGGATGTGAGAGCAGACAGAGGTTGAGAGAGGTTGGGCTGGACAAATCTAATGGAGAAAGTTTCCCCACTTGGGAGTTCTTAATGAAATCACAGGTTTAGTCTGGAGGGAGTCTTATCTTTATGGGAAGAGAAAGTAACACTTCTAAATCTAAGGCTAAGAGATACCATCTCCACCCCACCCCACCCACCACTGCTTCCCTCCCCCCACCAACCCCAGTATGTGGGGAATGTTAAATGCCTAAGGAAGGATGGCCCCTCCCCCCCAAGTGGAGGGGACGCATGGTTTGTGGGAAGACCCAAGACAAAGGTTCCATAGGAAGAAGATCCCATAAAGAGAGGTATAAGGAAGAATTAGTACCAATCTCCCAAGACTCCCAGATGGAAGAAACTGCCCCTACCTTAGCCTGCAGGCAAAAGGAGATAATCCAAACTCCAAAGAGATAAAGTGGTTACCAGAAGACAAGCCCCACAACCTCTGGAATCAGAGGAAGCCAGCCATATCTCAGCCTGAAAGGGTTTGGGGGGTGGGGTTGGCAGAGAGAGGAACAGCCTGGCAGGGAGTGAGATGCAGAGGAAAGAAAGGACAGGAGAAGGAAAGGGAGACATTGACAGATGGGGGAGCAAAGATGGTCTCAGTAATAGGAAGAGGGAGAGGAGGAAGAATGAGAGGGGAGGGAGAAGGAAAACAGGAAAGGAAAAGGAGAGAGAGAAAATAAGAAAGAGAAAGGAATAGAGAGATGGAAAGAAAAAGAGGGAGACTGAATGAAAGGAAATGAGGAGGAAGGAGAGAAAAGTCGGTACAGAAGGAGAGGGAAGGGGGAGGGGGAGGGAGAACAGCATAGACTTCAGTGTTCTGAATTTTTAAAGACTGAAGAAGATGGACGTATGAAATGTGTCTGGGCTAGCTCTGGCCCCTGCAGGGGGCTGGCTGGCTCGACCTCTGGGTCAGTTTCAGAGCTTGCCCTTCTCTCCCTGGGAATTGGGGATACAAAAGGTGGGACCTCCAACTATGTAATGGGGGGGGTCAGATCTCAACTTCTTCATCAAAATCTAAGTTAAAGCAGCACCTCATTTATTTCATGAATTCAGTTCAGGAAACATTGATTAAGCACCTGTTCCTGCCAGGCCCTGGGGATACAGAGAGAGAAGTTGCCATGGAGGCCATGCTCTCTAGGACCTCACTGGGGGGCTCTCCTTAATACAGTTTTGAGGTTTGCAATGGCTTTTTTTTTTCAACAACCACTTGAGGTAAAACGGGTAAATATTCTTTTCCCTATTTTATAGATGAAGAAACTGAGATTCAGAGCTATGAAATGACCAGCCCAGGGTCACACAGCTGGTAAGTGCTCCTTGCTGAAATCCGATCATCTGATATACAATGAGAAACAAGTACCAAGGGGAAGGTGGGGCCAAGCTGGAGAATGCTAAGGAGGGAGAGGAGGGAGAGGGCATGGCAGGTTTCTGGGAGGAGGTGAATCTGAGCTGGGCCTTGCAGAAAGGAAGGTGAGATGGGGAGGGCTGGTCATTCCATTCAAAAGAGGGCACTGGGGGCAGCTAGGTGGCACAGTGAACAGAGCTCTGGCCTTGGAGTCAGAAGGACCTGAGTTCAAATCTAGCCTCAGACATTTAACACTTAACTAGCTGTGTGACCCTGGGCAAGTCACTTAACCCCACTGCCTAGCCAAAAAAGCAAAAAGCAAAACCAAAACCAAAGAGAGCACTGTGTAGGCAAAGGCTTAGAGATGGGAAAGTGTAACTCTGGCTGGGGGCCCATTGATCCCCTGGGTTTGTCTTGCTTTTGGAGTTTCAGGAGGGGAATAGTAGTGGGAGGTGAGAGTGGGTTGGGAGGTCAGCTGGGGACCTTGGGAAAGTGAAACCCCAGATTGTCAAGTTTTTTTTAAAGGACCAAAACATTGTTTATGTTAACCTTTTGGGATGCAAATGTTTCTAAAAAGTCTCCCTCAGGCAGCAGCCTCCGGGACTTTTGATGAGAGGACAATAAACAGTCTAACCGTTTCTAGATGACTCATGGTTGTTAGTAGGTTGTAATCAATGATGTTAAGATGTGGAAGGCTTTGAGGCTGACAAAGGCTAGAAGCAGCCAGAGGGGGAGCCCCTGGGACCATTGAGCTAGTGGTCCTTGGGTACCACCTTTAGCAGCTCCTCTTTGGCTTTCTAATTTGCTATTGGCTAGGAAACCAGAAAACAAAAGTTGTCAGAATCATGTGTAAACAAAGAGTGAATGGGCTCTGAGTGAGAGCTCTTCAGTGAGAAAAGTGAATGGGCTTTATGACATCTCTTGGCTGCTCTTGGCTGCTCAGAAGTCTTTTTTTTTTTTTCCAGATAATTGAGTCTACTGAATAGAGGCAGTCTTTGGCTTACTACCCACCCTCCTCCTCAAGCTTCAGAGCACAGATTCTTCTGAGACTTACCCCTCTCCCCCAATAAAACACTTTAGTCAGGTGCTCTTTCAAGACTGTCCAAGTGCCCTGACCCTGTCTTCTGAAAGGCCATCATTTACAAGTGACACAGTGTGGAGATCATGTAGCTAGACAGGAGAAGACCTGGTGATGATGGGGGGTGACCTGCATTTTCCCACACATTTCAGCAGCCCATCATTACCAGGTCTCCTGACTAGCTTGGGCAAGCTACTGCTCCTCTCTGGGCCTCAGTTTCTTCTTCTGTAAAGTGAGGACTCATGATATCCCAAGTCCCTCCTTGTTTCAAATGATGTGACCGGAGAATTTCCTGTGATTTCCTCAACAACTTGGAGAACATAAATGAAAAATTCTTATCACCCCCATTTTACAGATGGGAAAGGTGGGACTGAGGGCTATTACTCCAGTTCTGAAAGGTCAGGCCCTATGGCCTCATCTGGAAGCGTCTTCAGGCCGATTCCCGGAGGACACTGCAGAGTTACATAACTCACTCCCCCTCGAGCCCCCCTCCCCCCACTCCCTTCTACCATGCTGTTGCTGTTTCTGTTTAGAGTGTTTCTTTTTCCTTAGTAGTTCCTGGCCTAATCCCCTGCACCAGCTCCCTTGGCCATCTTTTTGGGGGAGTGGGGGACTCCTAATCACTGCCCTGCACACAGTAGGCACTTCAACAAGGGTTTGTTGGTTCCAACTGAATTGAACCATTGTGCCATGAGGGAAAAGTGCCTTGGATTTGAGGTCAGATTGACTTGTGTGACCTGAGAAACGGCTCTCCCTGCCCCAAGCTTTTTCAGGAGGAAGAGGAGAGGGCTGTCTGCTTCTCCTTCCCCTGCTTTGATGCAGAGTCCCAAGGAAGATCTCCCAGCAGCAGCTCCCAGGGGGAGAAGGACAAGCTTGTGTGTACCTCAGTTAGCTAAAGAAGCCAGGAGGGCTTGGCCACTTCTCTTCTGGACTGGTTGAGATTCTCTGGAGAGCCCTGGAGCCTGGTTAGCTGGAAATAAGCCCCCGAAATTGCAGGCAGTAGGGAGGGCTGGCTCAGCCCCCTTCACAATGGTGAAGGGGGCATTTTGAAGACAGTTGTCTAAAATGAACTTTCTGCTGTTTCATAGCAGCCCTGGGCCTCCTCCCTCACCAGCCCAGATCTGAGGGAGCTTAGGGCAGCCTCCAGAGAGAGCACAGGGATTGAAAGGCACATGCTTTTTTGGTGCCCAACACTGCTCGCTGTGAGCTGGCTTCTGGGAGGAATCCCTGAGGGGGCCGAGCGGCGTTGGCTACAGTCGGACTGCCGGTGCTGGGCACCTGTATCCCTGGGAATGGAAGGTACCCACTGGCACCCAACAGTTAGAGGGAGGAGCGCCAGCATCTCACGGGGAAGCCCCCCCCCCAGGTAACTGCGGGTCCAGCCCAGCCACAGTGAACTCCACCCACCCCCGAAGCTACGCAAGAAGAGCATGGAGGAAGTGGGGTTGAGTACTCGGGGTAAGGAGCAGAAGCTGCCGCCCACTGTCCCCTGGGGCTTCAGGACACCAGGAAGGGAGGTGGAGAGGAAAGAAGGATATAGAGCCCGACCAAGAGGGGATGCCTGTCTCCCCCACCAGGTCCTTCTACAGAGAGGGGAGGAAACTTGGCATGAGGGTGGGGGATAGGGAAGAGGAGGTGATGGTGGGAATCTGGACTAGCCCGCTCCCTCCCATGGGGGAGCTTCTTTCCTTCCCGCCCACTTTCAGCCCCCAAGCTTTTCTCCTCCAGCTTGGGATAAGCTCGGACCCAGGGCCGAAGGCTGCACCCTCTGCATCTCTGCCAAGCAGGGCATTCTTGGGGGCTACGAGTCCAACGCACCTTAGGGCTTCTCAAGCTCACTGCCCTTCAGGTCAGAGACGGGAATATGAGGGCCAGACAGAGTAGAATCCCTGCGCCAGATAGCCCCGGGAGTCCAGAACCCAGCCCAAGCCCGGAGCCCAGAGCCCAGAGTTCGAGCCCAGAGCCCGGGACGCAGCGCGCTCCCTTGGCCCGGCTCGCCCCTCTTCGGACGGCGCCCCTACCTTCACCTCTCTGTGGGCCGGGCCGCTGAGAGGTGCGCTCCCACCTCGCGCCCGTCGCCGCCCACTCTGGGCAGCGCGCACTCACCGTGCCCTCGGACTGCAGGTAGCCCAGGTCGTCGATGGCACGGATGTTAATAATGTGCACGCCCCTGTCGACCGCGGCAGGCAGCGACGAGTACTTCTCGTTCACCCTCATGGCCTCGTAGCTCGGGGCTTCTTCTAAACTGGTGAGGGAGTCGTCTGCAGGTCCAGGCGGCGTGGCCTCCCCATGCACCGCGCCGGCGTCTTCTGTCCCCAGGAAGAGAGAGAGAGAGAGAGAGAGAGAGAGAGAGAGAGCGAGCAGCGGGCGGTTAGCTTCAGTCCCTCCCTCCCTCTTTGCTCACACTGGCTTGAGGCACTACCCCGCCTTCCAGTCTCCCCGCCCCTGCCCAGCCCAGCTGCCGGAATAGAGGGAGGGGTCCGCTCGCAGGCCGGTCCATCTACCCTCTCTCTCGCCCGAAGAAAGCCCTGGCGCCTTTTCTCTCCCTCCGGATCTGGCTTGTCCCGAGGCTTCCTTACCATACTCAAGCTGCCCTTCTCAATATTTTCCTGATGGCTCCAGGCTGTGGCGCCCCTCAGTGCGCCCTGCCTGGCTGCCTTCAGGTCAGGTTAGCGACGGCCCCGCTCAGTCCATCTGGGAAAGTTAAGAATGCCCAGGCACAAACTGGCTTCTGCTGGTCCTGGGGAACACTGGCCTCCGAGCAGTTGGGGGATGGAGTGGGAACAGCCTCTTCCCCCGGGAACCTGGTTCACCCAGCTCCCTAAGGGGCATCCCGGACAGCCGGCCACCTCTTAACTTTTTACAAAGCAACCCTCAGGTTCAGCAGTGGTTGCAGGCTAGCCGCCAGTGTGATGTGTCTGACTCAGAGCCCTTCTGCCTTAGCCACACGAAGATGCGTACATTAACCTCGAGTTATTTTGTAGGGGCTGAGATGGTCACGGGCAGAGCAGCCCTTTCTGGAGCTGTCCACTGAAGTTGCTGGGAGCTCAGACTTTGGGGTTGACCTCCATTGTGCCAGCCAATGGTACCTTGTAGGGACCTTAGGGATTAAAGGGTGGTAGAAAGGTTGAAGGGGCCGTAGAGGTCAGGCAGTGTAACCCCATCCTTGTTTGGAGGAGGAAACTGAGGGCTGGGATGGTAAGGGACTTACTCAAGGTCACATAGCCCTTAGAGATCCTAGAAAAGGCAGAGCTGGCATTCTAACCCTTGTAGCCTCACTCCAGTACTTGCCCCTTTCCTCCCACTGACCTAGAGATCAGCTTCATCCTGCCTCCAGCCAGATGAGCCCAGGTTGCCGGTTGATCCTCCCTGCCTCACAGCTGCTCTGAGTGGGGCCTGTTCATTTTATCCCCGGAATCGTTAGCCCTCAGAAATGTAGACAGGGCCTGGCCAGCCTCAGCAAGGAAGACCAGCTCCCTCCAATACCCAAAGTATTTTCTTGGGCAATCACTTAATTCCTTGGCGCCTCAGACAACTTTAAGACTAAAATCGAAGGGGAAGGCGCCTGTCAGGGTTTGTAATAAGTGAGGAAGTTCCTTCCTCAAAGTCTGGGGCCTCAGTTTCCTCATCTGTCAAATGAAGATGATAATCATTGCTGCCCCACCTACCTTCTTCCTCAGATGCTGAGATCATATGTGAATACCCTTGTGGGAAAGCAATCTACAAGGCAGGCTTTTTCCATAAAATTGCAATTGCCCCCCCCCCAGGACCAAAGCTTCCCAAGCTGCTGGATCTTCACAATCATTTGACACCTCGGGGGATAAGCCCATCTGTGATTGGCACCTGTCCAGCTGGGCCCTGAGTCACCACCTTTGACTCTTCCCTGTCTTGCTCTCACCTTCCCCCAGCCATTCACCTGCACCTCTCCTCTCTTCTTACCTCATTCTGCCTTGTCTCAGAGGTATTTATGCCTCCTCCCCCCCACCCCCCAATTAGATTATAAACTGCTTAAGTGAATAGGGACTTTCTGGCTCTCAGCACTCAGAGCACAAGACCTTGTATTAATAGCATAGGCTTTATAAATGAACTGGTAGGATACAAAGGAGCCTGCCCTCTGCTGGCCGAGGCTTCTAGAGCCCAGGGCCCTCTGGGGCCACAGGGAGGCTTGGGAGGAGGCTGTTGGAGGAGGATGCTTATTAGGTATTATGAGGACAACTGTCTCACTGAATGCAGCACTGTAATTCATAGGATCACACCCTCAGAAATCAGCCACCCCGACTCCTTCCATTCACATCAGCCTATAAAAGGACACATCCAAGGTCACATGGTCAGCACATAGCAGATCCAGAGGATAAGCCTGCCACTTTCCAGGCCCTGGAGCCACTAAATGGGGCCAGGTGCACAGATGAGCTCGGACCCTGGTCTAGGCCATCTTTTCTCCCAGTGATGCCAAGGTCAGAGCTGACTGCCTGCCCTACCTCCTGTACCCCGTGAACAGCAGCTGGTATGTGGAGGTGGACTTGGGCGGGGTTTTGACTTCATTCTGGGCTTTGTCACTTTTCTGACTACAGATTTTCTTATCTACTCAGCCAAGCATCGTAGGAAAAGCAGAAAGCTTCCTCTTTCTTTGGGGACTGAAAGAGTGGAAGACAGTCCAGATAATGCAGAGGTGGTGAGCTCCCCGTCATGGCATCATGGTGAGCTGACCCACAATGGTCAGATATGTTGAAGGGGAGATCAGTAGCCTAAACAGCCTTGGTGGATGCTGCTGCCTGAGATTGCACCATCTTGAACAAGTGGCTGCAAGGGAGTTAGAAGAGGTGTGAATTCTTAGGACAAACACCAATGGTTGAATGGAAAATATATTCCAAAGCCACAGAGTCCTATTTCTCAGGTTAGCCTGCAGGGGCCCCTCCCCTTCCCATTGGCACCTTCGAGGTGACAGGCCTTGGGGGAATCATTTCGCAAGTCTCACATAATAAGCAAGTGGGGGGGGGGAATGGGCCAGAGCCAAGTTCTGGAGCTCCATTGAAATCACAGGACTGGACCACAAATTTGTAGTAAGTGGGGAAGTTTCTTCCTCACTATCTCTAGGCCTCAGTTTCCTCATCTGTCAAATGGTGATATGGGGAAGTTCCTTTCTCATTGATTCTGAACCATTTCATCCATCAGGCCAGGAGAAGCCTCTGATGTCCAAATTCCAGTTTCCAGAGCTGGGTAAGACTTCCAAAAAAAATAAAAATAACACGTTGTGCAACCTGATCTCCTTGTTGGTAAACAAGCAAGATTGTGTAATCCTGCTGTGCTCAACTGTTCAGGACAGAAGAGCCATGAGGCAGAGAATGGAGCAGAAGTCCCAGGGGTGCGAGTCCATCTGGCAAGGGGTCATCCAGTCCCTGTTTGAGCCCTCACTCTCTTCACTGACAGCACCCCCTCCCTCCCTCCTCTAACTCAGCCTAAACAAGACTAATCTTTCAAAGGATCCTTATAGGACATGGACTGGAGAACCTCAGCCTTGCTAGATGTTCCCCGCTGAAATCCTCCCTCCAGAGGTGGCCTGCCTGAAGCCAATTGCCTCCTTGTCCCTGGAGGCCAGGTTGACTCCCATTGGCTGCTGAGGCTGCCGCATCCCACTGCTGGGTCTACTGATCTCCCCCGAGGCCCTTCGTGCAAACTGCGGCCCTTCCCCGAAGCTTGTACCTGTGGTACTGAACTTGCTCATTCAAGTCTGAGACTTTACATTTGTTGCTGTTCAGTTTTATTTTATTAGATCAAGCCCACCTATCTGATCTGTTTGGATCCCATTGGATCCTGACCATCATCTGATCAGTCAATATGCATTTGTTAAATGCTATGTGCCAGGCATGCCATGGACACCTTCATCCAAGGTTTGTGCTTGTAAGAAATGAGGAAAGACACACATATGTATACATATATACATGCATACATACACGTATACACACTTACATATGCATATATATTCTCAAGGACAGGGAACGTTTCTATTCTATCTTCCAGGTCCCAGGACCCAGCATGGTGACTGGCATTAGCAGGCACTGAATATGTGATTATCAAACTGAATGAAAAAAAAAAAAGGAATTCACAACCCCAAGGTGTGGGCAGATGTTGAAAAATAGAAATGGCTTTACGAAAGATTTGAGTGATTTTTGATTTTCAGAATATCAGGTCAATGAGGACCAGTCCCTGCCAATCTAAACTTCACACCTCCCCCAGTTCAGAGGACAAGGCTCTGTGTGCAAAATGTCTATTGACCAGGATAAATTGGAGTAACTGCTGAACAGTAATTCCTTATTTATTGGGCACATAAACTGGTAGATTGGCCATTGCTGGCTAAATTCCCTCCTGGCTGAGGAAGAGCCAGAGTAAGTCAATCTGGGTAGAACAAAGGGGCCCTTTGTCAGTAGAGCTTTGCTGGTGACCTCCCTCTTCTCCCTCAATAAATTGTTCCTCAGGGCTGGCTGTGATGTCACAGACCCTCAGTGAGGGGGGATACTTCAGCTGATATCTCACAGGCACTACAGAAGTGAGAAGCAACCCCAGATGGGAATGGGTAAAGCTGGTCACACTCCCAGAACAGTTAACACCTGACCTTGGCATCTAAGGCTGGATGTTTTCTTACTTGCCATGATCAGGCTCAGAACAACCATCTAAGTTGGCCGGTCCCAGGCATGTGGTGCTCTGTGCTCTATGGACAGAGGAGTCCCCTTGGGAAGCGCCTACCCAGAGCTCTTCGACCTCTGACAAAAAGGGAGCAATGAAACTGGAAACCTGAAGCATCAGTCGAATTAGGAGTTTAAAAGAGCTGATGTCAGGCAGGAATGTCCCTGGAGAATTTGTTTGCTTATCAGCTCTTCCTTAACTACCAAGTTCAAAGCACCTCTCCCGATGCTCTCTCTGCCCACTTCAGGGGCTGATACCTCCTTCCTTCAGCTTCTCCCTCCAAGACTAAGAACCAGTAAGATTTCATTGGGCAGTTTAGCCAGCAATTTCCTTACAGGAAGCTCAGGGTAAATTCTCCTCAGTTTGAAGATGAATAAACTTGGGAGGGGGTGGGGAACAATTTGGAATTGCAGGCTTTGGAGAAGGAACCTCCAAGATCATCTAGCTGAATGAGATCATCTAATTGAACCCTTTCATTGCAGAGGAGGAAACTGGAGCCCAAAGAGGCAATAAGATTATAGATTCACAGCGGGTGCGGCCCTTAGAGATCACCTGGTCCTATGCTTTCATTTTAGAGAAGAGAAAATGAGGTCCAGAGAGGTCATGGATCTTTGCATTATAGATTCAG